AGGACAACGTGAGAATAATAATAATCTTGTATAAATGTACTTAAATAATTACCCTACATGTCGTTGGTGATATGCGGGATATGCGTATTGGCTGCATCTTCTCATGTCCAAACCGATGTTGACATTAGGGAGGCGGCAGAAAATGTAGCCAAACTTTAATGAGACCTTTAATTACATAACAACAGGCTAATCACCAGTCAAGTTTGACAAATATAATGTAGGATATTTAACATTAACATGTTTGATTCTGTTGAAATACTCCTTCAGATCAAATGGTAAAAAGAGCAGAGAGAAAGGCTGGTGCCTGTTGCACACCGCGTATCACCACCTTGCAATCTGGCAGCATTTTGAAACCATAAATAGTTTGAAACCTGGACGTTTTACTTCATATAGGCCAAATGATGCATTTCTTACCTTGCTTCAAAGTAGCTTAGCCAAAATCCGACCATAGAAATGTACGGGGGAATTAATTGTTTTATAAACACTTCCTCATTGAAGTACTTCTCTTCAGTAGCGTAGCGTAGTTTTTTAGTTCCCTCTCCTCGCCGACTCTCCTCGATTAACTTTGACCTTTTTCAAAAAGAAGCAAGAGAGGACGGAGGAGAGAGGACGCAGGAAGTGAGTAAATCTAAGGAGGAGGAGGAGGTGGAGGAGGAGGAGGTGGAGGAGGAGGAGGAGGAGGAGGAGGAGGAGGTGGAGGAGGAGGTGGAGGAGGAGGTGATGGAGGAGGAGGAGCAGGAGGGGGGGAGGAGGAGGAGGAGGAGGAGGAGGAGGGGGAGGAGGGGGAGGGAGAGGAAGAGGAGGAGGAGGTGGAGGAGGATGGGGAGTAGGTGGAGGAGGAGGGGGAGGAGGAAGAGGTGGAGGAGGAGGGGAGGGGGAGGAGGAGGAGGTGGAGGAGGAAGGGAGGGGGAGGTAGAAGTGCAAAGTAGCTAAAAAGTAGTAAGTAGTTGAAAAGTTGGTAATTTGCTAAAATGCTAAAGTTGTCCGTGATGAGATTTGAACTCGCAACCTTTCTTTTGTTTTTGTCTTAAGTAACCATCTGTCTCATGTAACCAGACCAAACATATCATACTAATATGAGTGTCCTGGATGATAGGTGTAGTCTAGTCTATGAGACTGTCTGTCCTACATGGCAGGTGCACTGACCTGCAGGATACAGTCATAGAGGAGTAAAGGAGAAGACCAAGGGTCCCAAATGGCACCCTATACCCTATATAGTGCACTACTTTTGACTAGGGCCCATAGGGCTCTGGTGACAAGTAGTGCACTACATTGGGAATAGGGTGCCATTTGGGACACAGAGGGGATAAGGCTAATGGAAATAAAGAAGATATAAAGGTTGTATGTGAAGAGTGTAGAGGAGATAAAGGTTGTGTGTGAAGAGTGTAGAGGAGATAAAGGTTGTATGTGAAGAGTGTAGTGGAGATAAAGGTTGTATGTGAAGAGTGTAGTGGAAATAAAGGTTGTATGTGAAGAGTGTAGAGGAGATAAAGGTTGTGTGTGAAGAGTGTAGAGGAGATAAAGGTTGTATGTGAAGAGTGTAGTGGAGATAAAGGTTGTGTGTGTAGAGGAGATAAAGGTTGTATGTGAAGAGTGTAGTGGAGATAAAGGTTATATGTGAAGAGTGTAGAGGAGATAAAGGTTGTGTGTGAGGAAGAGATAAAGGTTTTATGTGAAGAGGAGATAAAGGTTGTGTGTGAAGTGTGTAGAGGAGATAAAGGTTGTGTGTGAAGAGTGTAGAGGAGATAAAGGTTGTGTGTGAAGAGTGTAGAGGAGATAAAGGTTGTGTGTGAAGCGTGTAGAGGAGATAAAGGTTGTATGTGAAGAGGAGATAAAGATTGTGTGTGAAGAGTGTAGAGGAGATAAAGGTTGTGTGTGAAGAGTGTAGTGGAGATAAAGGTTGTGTGTGAAGAGTGTAGAGGAGATAAAGGTTGTGTGTGAAGAGTGTAGCGGAGATAAAGATTGTGTGTGAAGAGTGTAGAGGAGATAAAGATTGTGTGTGAAGAGTGTAGAGGAGATAAAGGTTGTGTGTGAAGAGGAGATCAAGGTTGTGTGTGAAGAGGAGATAAAGGTTGTATGTGTAGAGGAGATAAAGGTTGTATGTGTAGAGGAGATAAAGATTGTATGTGTAGAGGAGATAAAGGTTGTGTGTGAAGAGTGTAGAGGAGATAAGGTTTGTATGTGAACAGTGTAGTGGAGATAAAGGTTGTATGTGAAGAGTGTAGTGGAGATAAAGGTTGTGTGTGAAGAGTGTAGAGGAGATAAAGGTTGTGTGTGAAGAGTGTAGTGGAGATAAAGGTTGTGTGCGAAGAGTGTAGAGGAGATAAAGGTTGTGTGTGAAGAGTGTAGAGGAAATAAAGGTTGTATGTGAAGAGGAGATCAAGGTTGTGTGTGAAGAGGAGATAAAGGTTGTATGTGTAGAGGAGATAAAGGTTGTATGTGTAGAGGAGATAAAGATTGTATGTGTAGAGGAGATAAAGGTTGTGTGTGAAGAGTGTAG